CCTTAGAGTTTGCATAGTGCTTCACATGTCAGCTCACGTGCTTCACAAAAAGCCCTGTCGCCGTGGGTGTTATGATCTCCAGCTGGCAAGTGAGGAAACTGAGTCTCAAAGACCCAAGATTCAGTAAATGGGAAAAATGACACTGGAACCCAGGACCCTGCCTCCTGGGCCAGAACTCACCCCCCCTCCCCCAGATGCAGGTGATGGTACATTTCAATTGATTTATAATGTCATAAAGCGCTTCGTGTTCACAGATGATTGGCAGGCTAGAGGGAGGAGGGGTCTCGGTGATGGGGCCTTGAAGGATGCATAGGAGTCTAGCAAGTGGGTGACAGGAGGGGAAAGGAAAGACATTCCTGGCAAAGGATAGAAAAAGCAAAAGCACAGAGAAAGACAGGTGTGCTGTTTGTTCAAGAAATGGCGAGCAGCTCAGTGTAGCTGGGCTGATGGTGTGGGCTGTGAGAGGACAACTATGACGATAGAAAAGTAAGCAGGAAATTGTACAGCGTCTGTGGAGTTCAATTACTACAAACTTGACCCCCGACCCAGAGATCCTGGATGGAAGTGTATCCATGGCTACGTCCGCACATGTACAGAATGACTTGTGTGCAATGTTCTTCGTGGCTATACTTCCTAGACTAGCCAATATTCCCAGTGTCCACCACAGAGGACTGATTAAATAAATAATGGAATATCTCCTCAATGGACTACTGTCAGCTGTAAAAAATTATAATTTCTATGAACAGATAGAGAAACTCTTCAGAAAGTGTTATCAAACCAAAAAAGCAAATTGTAGACCTTTTCTAGAAGTTTAACATTATATATTTAAAAATCAAGTTTCAGAATAGTGTATATAAAGTTACTTTCATGGAAGAAAATAAAAGGCTAAGTATTCATATTTATGTCCAAGAAATGAATAGAAAGCGCTACATAACAAGGAAATCTGAGTAGATTGGGATAAAGGAGAGTAAGACTTCTCCCTGGAAACCTTTTTTGTATCACTGAATCGTTAAACCACATCAATATATTATCTATTCAAAATGTAAAATTACATTTAAAAGCATCTTTACCCAAATGAGTTAAAAATTTATGTTCACACAAAAAGCCTGCACACAAATGTCTCTGGCAACTTCACTCATAACTGCCACCCCTCCGATGCAACCAAGATGTCCTTCAGCAGGCGAAGAAAGCTAAACTGCGGTGCATCAGGCGAGGAATATTACTCAGCACTGGAGAGAAAGGCATTACCAAGCCTGGAAAAGACGCGGAGAAACCTTAAATGCATATGACTAAGTGAAAGTGACAATCTGAAAAGGCGACAGACTGCGTGACTCCAACTAGATGACATTCTAGGAGAGGCAAAACCGCGGGGACGGTGAAAAGATCAGTGGCTGCCAAAGGCTGGGGGAGGGAGGATGACGGGATTTTTAGGACAGGGAAACTATTCTGTATGGTCCTGTAATTAATGGTGGGGATGTGTCATTATACATGTGTCCATAAAGTGTACAACCCCAAGAGTGAACCCTAATGTGGCAATCCTGGCTCATCAGTTTTAAGAAATGTTCCACACTAAGGCAAGGTGTTCATAATGAGGGAAACTGGGGGTGGGGTGGGGGTGGTGAGGGGTTATATATAGGAACTCTCTGTACTTTCTGTTCAATTTTCTGTAAATCTGAAACTGCTCTAAAAATAAGTATTCATTTGGAAGAGAGAAAAGAAAGGAAGAGTGAGCAGGGGGCCAGCTGGGAAGAGTTCTGAAGGGCACACAAATCAGACTCTCATCCTATAAACACAACACAACATTTTTAAACAAGGCAGTGACAGAGCGGTGGTCTGGGGGGCGGGGGGGAGAGGGGATTCTGGTGACCCTGCAGGGATCCGACTCCAGGACAAAGAGATGGGGCACCAATAAGCAGATTATGGAAGGGGGTTGGGTCTGAACGGGATGGGGCCGTGGGAGGAGAAGGGGACACGGGAGAGGAAGCAGCAGGACTCAGCGACAGCTGTCCCTGTGCATCAGGGATGAGTGGGAAAATGAGGGTCATCGTTTTCTAGATTAAACTCTGAGGCAAACAGTGGAGCTGTTAGAGTCCATGGAGCAAATGAGATGGGAAAATGAATTTGCTTTCGGACATGTGAGGTTATTTTACCTGCAGAGTCTGGATGTGGAAATATACGGAGGCAGCTCAAGCCACAGAAGAGAGGTCAGGGGTGCCTGAGACACTAATCCTGGGGCGTATCAAACCACACTGACTTATGCAAGGGGACAAAATTCAACCTACAGTGTATTTTAGTAATAATATACCATGGGCTAACCAGTGAAATAACCTATTTCTTAACATGATTGTAACCACTAGACTAATATATTAATGTATTTAGCCTATCCCCCAAGAAAGAAAACAAGTTTTTCTAAAGTTATTTCAGACATATTTATATAGTGGTCCCCCTTCATCTGCTGGGGACACATCTAGGACCCCCAGTGGATGCCTGATAGTACCAAACCGTATAGATACTATGTTTTCTCCTATACAAACATACCTATGAGAAAGTTTAATTCATAAGTTAGGCACAGGACGAGATTAACAACAATACTAAGGGTAACATAGAACAATTAAAACAGTACACTGTACTAAGTTATGTGAATGTGGTCTCTCTCTCAACATACCTTATCGTACTGCACTCCCCCTTCTTCCTGTGATATGTGACATGATAAAATGCCTTCAGTTGAGAGCTTTCACCTTTTCACCTAAAGGAAGCACTTCGCGGCCTCCCTTTAGCTTGTCCCAGTTGCCAGCATCACTACTCCGGCGCTTTGGGGCAGTATTAAGTACAATAAGGGTTCTGTGAACGCAAGCACTGCGACGCCAGGACAGCCCGAATCTGGATGGCTACTAAGTGACTGAAAAGACCTTTAACAAAATGTGACACCTATTCCTTAGGTGTTTTTACTTTAAGGCACTCAAAATAGGAATCGATGTGTACTTTCTAACATGATAAAGCTCTGTGAATCTCAGACCCAAAGCCAGCATCTTACTTAATTGGGAAGGTTTAGAGCAGTGGTTCTCAACCCTCTGGCCCTTTAAATACAGTTCCTCCTGTTGTGACCCAACCATAAAATTATTTTCGTTGCTACTTCATAACTGTAACGTTGCTACTGTTATGAATCGTAATGTAAATATCGGATATGCAGGATGGTCTTAGGCGACCCCTGTGAAAGGGTCGTTTGACCGCCAAAGGGGTCGCGACCCACAGGTTGAGAACCTCTTGTTTAGAGGCTGCCCCACTCAGGTCAGGCTTAAAGGCCTAGAGACCCACTCTGTCCACCACTGTTGACACTGAATCCAAGCGATAAGCCCATCAGACAAGAAAATAATTGGAGATTTTAGAGCAATCAAACTATCTCTATTTGCAGGTGTTATAACCATACACCTGGTAAACCAAGAGTCGATGGTAAGAGCTGACACAGCCAATAAAAGAATTTTAATAAAATTAACAAAATACAGGAGTCATCATAAAAGTTCAACAACACACTAGGAATATGGAGAAGCAGGCGTTGTCAAACATTGATGGTGGGAACGCCAAATGGTAGACCACCTTCAAGGAACTTTGATTATATTTTATAAAAGTGCATACTTATTTACCCTGTGACCCAGCAATCCCATTTCTAGGCACCGATCCCAAAGAAATACTGACAAAACTATTTTACTTAAGCTCCCAAAATAGAAATTGATGGATAATTTTTTTAACATAACAAGAAAATATAAACCAAGACCAGACCCTGTGGGAGACAAAGCGTTATTCACTTCAGCACTGTCTGTAATAGCAACACACTGGAAAACAACCCACATTTCCAGCAATATGGGATGGATTAAACTCTGATACAACCATAGAATGGAACCTCATACAGCTCTAAATGAGGAAGAGAGGACATCTCTGTATGCCATATGGAGGGATCTCCAGGATCTGGTTTTAGTTGAAGAAAGCAACGTGGAGAAAATTGTACTGTGCATGGCATGCTCCCGTTCACCTGAGAAAGGAGGGAAAGGCCTGTATGGACAGGCACATGTAGTTTATTACATATATGTGTCGTTGTTTTAATGAAAGAATAAACCAAAAAACTTCCCAAACATGGTGACCCACAGGAGAAACAGGAAATGAAGTAAATGAGGAAAACAGAAGCTAGACTTCTACGAGTCTACAGGCATCACTCGTTTTATTGTGCTTCACAGATGTTGCTTTGCTTTGTTTCTTGTTTTCAATTGCAGTTGACATACAATATTTTATTAATTTCAGGTGTACCCATAGTGATTAGACATTTATCTAGCTTACAAAATGATTACCCCGCCGCCACCACCACCTCTATCAGTCTGGTACTCAACAGATGTTGCATCTTTTACAAATTGAAAGCCAGGCATTTCGCCAGCAAAAAGATTACATCTCACTTTTATCATGATACTCGCTCTATTGCGGTGATCTGGAGCCACACCTGCAATATCTCCAAAGTATGCCTGTACCTTGTTCTGTAGACTTGACTTTGGAACCATATAAATATTTTACTTAATCATAAAATAAGGGCCATAGCAATAAACATAGAATTCTCCATATGACCCTGTTTTTTGTTGTTGTTGTTTTTAATATATTTTATTGATTTTTTACAGAGAGGAAGGGAGAGAGATAGAGAGTTAGAAACATCGATGAGAGAGAAACATCGATCAGCTGCCTCCTGCACACCTCCTACTGGGGATGTGCCCGCAACCAAGGTACATGCCCTTGACCGGAACCGAACCTGGGACCCTTCAGTCCCCAGGCCGACGCTCTGTCCACTGAGCCAAACCGGTTACGGCATGACCCTGTTTTTAGGCTATAAACAAACCTAATGGAGTCAACAGAGCCAACATGACCGTTCAGACTAGTGAGCAGACGTCATGGAAGAAGGCGTGCTGGGCAGAGCAAGAGAGAGAGAGTGAGGGCTAATGGAGAGGCTGCAGTGCATCACTCACCTCCACCTTGCTCTCGGGTTCGTGATCGGCAGCCGGGAAATACACGACCTCTTGCACTTCATCCCTGGGCCGAGCGGAGTTTTTCCCGAACACCACCAGACCGTCCTTAGCACGAGGCGGGAAGGCCACCAAACAGCAGCTTGGAGGCGCTGCAGCCATCCTGAGAAGAGAGCAGAAGCCAGAGGCGGATGGGATGGGAGCGGGTGAACGGGGGACACGCCACCCGGGAGTTCATGGAGCCTAGTTCACCAGCTCAAAGGGTTTAGTATTGAACTGTGTGCAGCAGGCTCATTTTGGTGAGATCCCAGCTGGCAAGTGACGGTGGGGCGCCTGGAGTAGAATTACGAAGCCACGGAGACCAGATACCGTTTAGTGCTCCGTGGGATTAAACAAGCTCAGATCTGCAACAAACCGCAGTGCCAGCCAAAAGCGCATGGTGTCGGGGACAGGAAAGGAGGCTATTGTTCCAGGCAGCAGACGCACACACATTGCAGTCTGTCCTGGCACTGGGACAAGAAATCAACAGACCTTGTCACAGTGCCCTGCGCAAGTGTCTCGGATCTAGAGGTGCATAATAGATTGTGGGATGGTGACAGAAATGGGTCTAGGTGGAAAGAGACTCCCCCTTTTTATCTAATTCTACTCCATCTCAATGACAGAACACCCCAGCACCTCCGCCTCCCCTCCCACCTCTCCCGCTGGCTTGTTCTCTTCTACCTGGTCATGCAGCATCTTCACTGCTTGATCCTTCTCTCCTCCTTTGATGTTCTTTCCTCTCTGGGAAAAGTCCTCCACGCTCAGAGCTGCCCTTGTCACTTACACACCAGTGGCCCACCTGTTTAACTGCAGCTCAGTCCTCTGAGCTCCCCTCCCAACGGCCTATGGGATATCCAAACCTGATCTCATCATCTTCCCCAAGCTGGTCCCATGTCCAAGGTTCTCCATTGCAGTGGCCAGCTCCACACCCAGCCCACAAGAACACCAAGACCTCAGGAACCATCTTACCATCTGCTTCTCCATTGCCTGCCATACCACCACGCCCTGTAGGTTCCATCTCCTACATCTCCATGGAAACTCACCACTGCTCTCCATCTCCACGACCACCCCCTGCACCAAGCCCCGCCATGTCTCGCCTGGCTCACTGCAGTAGCCTCCTAAGGGATGACTCCATACAGCTATTATACACCACCACCCCTGCCCCAGACATTGAAGCCAAAGTGGTTTTTTTTTAAGCAGGAAGATGTTTTCCATGTCATCCCTACTTGAAATTCTTGATAAGTTTCCCATGGCTCTGAGACTAAAGACCAAAATCTGATCAAGTTCATGCCGCCTCCCCAGCCTCATTTCCAGCCTCGCCCCTCCACTCTCTCAACGCTAGCACCCTGGCCTTTTGCCAGCTCCTGCAAACTCCCAGGGCCTTTGCACAGGCTGTGCCTTCTCTCTTGAGCACCCCTTTCCCTGCTCCCTGCACCAAAACCATCTGCAGAGCTAACTACTGCTCCTGTACATACCAGCTCAAATGCTCTGCTCATTTATGTCACCAGATAATACAAACAATCAAATCTAAAATATTTGGGTAACTATTTTATTATCAACAACCAATACTTAGTCTCCCCACCCCCACCCCCAAAGTCTAAGCAATAGGAAGGCAGGGACCATGTCTCTTTTGCATACCACTGTAAACCCAGCTCTACACAATGTCTTCTGCGGGTAGATTTTCAATAAATAATGAACAGGTGTCCAGTTCTCCTTTCTTAATAGTCCACCAAACGGAACCAGACTCTCTGCAACTCTTTCTCCCCACCACGCCTCTGCCCCTGGCTAGAATGAACGCCCTGCTCTTAGTCTTCGTGAATATCCATCCAAATCTGATTCAAAATCCCTTTCTTTCAGAAAACCGTCTATAAAGAACTCGGTCATTTCCTCTGCATCCATAGCACTCATGCATCCAGTCTGTTCTAGGATAACGTGCACCTGTTGCTTGTACATATACTGCTTCCTCTTCAAGTAAAGCTCCCTGAGGGCAGGGCCCGTGCCTCCCAACTAGAGTTGCTCTTTCCCCCACCCCCTGCTATTATCTATTGAGCCAACTATCATATTTGTGTCATTATTTACCCAACTTAAATATATTTTATCTTACAAACCCGAAATATAAGTGAGAAGTAAAGCACTGTTCTCAGAAAAGCAACTGGGATTCAAAACTCAGCGCCACTACCCACTAGCTGTGTGACCCTGAGCAAGTCACTTTACCTCTCTGAGCCCAGGTTTTCTCTTCTGCAAACGTTGTGCCCCAGCCCACAGGTTTATCAGGAGTGTCAAATGAAATGATGCTTGAGAGCATATTTTTGCAAACCCTGGAGGCTACATGAGTATAAGATATTTTGTCTGGTTTTTCACTGTTAAAACAGAGCAGCATCTCAAAATTTCTGTTGAGCAAGCCAGTCAAAACCAACTCACCTCACTCATAACAGGGCAGATATCAACTTGCAGAGTCAGCAACATTCTAGGTTTGGAAACATCTTTGTGAGGGACCGTATTGCTCCGTCTACTTCCAGGCTACTTCAAGTTAGCCTGTACTTGCACACCCGGGGCTGTCAGAGTTCCTCCCTGCGTTGCTCAGGGCAGCCTCTAAGTCTGAAAATAATTCCCTCCCAGCTCAGAGAAATAGGCCCTCTCTGCTTTGTGAGAAAGAAAAGGCAGAATGATAAAGAGACTCCAGTTCTTTCTCCCCTTAACCTTTCCCATGTTCACAAAAACTGCATTATCTTCAGACTTCAGGGGGGCGGGGGAGGGGGGAGAAAGAAACAAAGACTCTGTATGTCCAAGAGAGACCTAGAATAATTATAAGATAAAGTGCCTTTATAGAGCGTCCCTAGAATTTGGGGGTGGGAGGAACTACTGACTCAGCCAAATAACGTGAAACAGACCAGGAGGAGATGAGATGGAGAAAGGCCACATTTACCTGTGCCCGTTTGCCTCTTGTCAGTAACATGACTTCCCTTCCTCCCCTATTGTTGGGCCAATTCAAAAGTACTGCTGTCTCGTCTCTGAGGAAACCTGACTTTATTTGATCCCTAAAAATAGCAGGGATCCCCTGGGCGGCAGTGATGAGCTGTGTCTGTAGAAAATAAATAAAACCCACAGGGCTTTTGCCAAGCACCTCCTCTTCAGCCAGGACCCCTGCTCGGTCAGCGAGACTGAATCATTGGGTCACTTGACCATGATGAGGATGTAGGCAACGGTATGTGGGCCAGGGAGGCGGAATTTTGGGAATGATTGGGAATGCCAAAGGGGAGCAGAACTTTGTCTTTTTTTTTTTTAAGTGTAAGATCAGTGGTTCTCAACCTGTGGGTCGCGACCCCTTTGGGGGTCGAACGACCCTTTCACAGGGGTCGCCTAAGACCATCGGAAAACACATATATAATTACATATTGTTTTTGTGATTAATCACTATGCTTTAATTATGTTCAATTTGTAACAATGAAAAGACATCCTACATATCAGATATTTACATTACGATTCATAACAATAGCAAAATTACAGTTATGAAGTAGCAACGAAAATAATTTTATGGTTGGGGGTCACCACAACATGAGGAACTGTATTAAAGGGTTGCGGCATTAGGAAGGTTGGGAACCACTGGTGTAAGATGAACCAGCAGCCTGTGTATCACATCCAGCGGCAAATTAGCCAAAGCTATTGTCCATTTCTTTTTCCTGGATCACCATTCTACACACGGGAGCCTCGGTGATGACTTAGCTAGATTCCTTCCTAGTCTCTACCAGTGCCGTGCAAGGAACTTCCTACAGTGATGGGAATGCTGTGTCTCCACTGTCCAGTATGAGCCACGAGCCTCAGGTGGCTACTGAAGTGGTTAGTGTGACTGAGAAACTAAATTCTTAATTGTATTACAAACTTTAATTAGTTTAATTAAATAGTCACAGGTGGGTAGTAGGATGCCTATTGACCAGAGCAGTGTTACAGCTTCCCAATAAAACCAGAATGAAGATTTTCATACTGCTCTTCCCCATGATCCCAGAAGGACTTACGTGTGAAGTCCTCCACTTACTCTAATGGCAAGATGTGCTCCCGTCCATATAAAATGTACTGCATAAAATGCTTTCATCATTTCTATTTGGCTTCGAGAAACAGAGTACAACCATTAAAGAATGAATTTTCCATTGTAACTACTTCTACTTAAACCAGCATTAAAACCAGAAGTGAAGCCATGCCTGATGGCTTTGTTTTTAAGTTGTTTGTTTTGAGGAGTAATTCTGGGGGCCCAGAGGTTGGGGTGGGTGTTACACTATAGGCTTGGAACTGAACCCAGGTGTGTCAAAAAGCAGCGTTTTCCAAATGGTATGTTGTGGCCTTTTCTTGGGTTATGAAATCATCTGAGTGGATAAGATTTCAATTTAGGGGATAAGATCAGCATTTTTTTTAAGAGAAACATTTTTAGAAAGAATATATGATTTCACATAGTAAGGATTAAGTGTTGGTACAAGAAACTTTATGTTCGGGTATCAAAATATAAGTGTGATGTACTGGGTTGAAATACAATATTTCTCTCTTACTGTGGGTTTCAAGCAAAATTCTTTAAAAGCAATGGGCTTATTCTACTCACTAAGGCTTCTTTGTGCTAAATACCCATTAGGATTCTTGCCAGGTTGGCAATAAACTAACAGTTCCAATTAATGAAACACTCCAATTGAACTCCCATAGATGGCCAAACTGACAGCCATTTCCTACAAAGCACTTGTTAAGAATATGTTAAAGTACATTTATCTGTACGTCATGCTAAGTGGAATAAGCCAATCGCAAAAATGCAAACACTGTGTAATTTCACTTACATGAGGTTCCCAGGGTAGTCAAATTCACAGAGACAGAAAGTAGGATGGTAATTACCAGGGACTGGGGGAGAAAGGTGGGAGGGGGAGATGTTTAACGGATTTAAAATTTCAGTTTTGCAAGAAAAAAAATTCTACAAATTAATTGTACAACAATATGAATATACTTAAAAACGGTTTAGATGGTAAATTTTATGTGACCTGTAATTTTTAAATTGATTAGCCACATGTGTCTAGAGGCAATGACACTAGGCGGTGCAGCTTTACATATTGTGCCATCAGCCAGGGTAAAGGATCCTCAAGCTCAATTTCT